GCTTCGTCGAGATCAGCTACCTTGGCCACCTTATCTATGCTCAAGAGTATGCAACCATCTGAGTCCGGCTCTAGCGAACTGTGGGATGGATGATGGGATTTCTTATTTGGTGAGAGTTATGCACCGAGGAAATAATCCAGCGGTCAACATCATGCTACGACGACACCATAACGGCAAGATTACTCCACCACATTCGTCGCCAAAAGCTGACAGTGCTACACACGATCGCCACAACTACATCAAATCGAGTGCTACGGCTGAAAAGTTCGGAAAATAACGAAACGTCATGCAGCCATGCGTCAGTGCACGCCGTCCAGTCTCGGCCCACCTGATGAGCTGCGGTGCCGAGCCGGCGGCCCCGTCAGCCGCGGTCAGCCGCACAGAGAACTCGCCGCCGTCCATCCTCAGCCTGGCGTCGCCCGGCCGGAGCGCCCCCGGCCGCGGCACGTCCACCAGCGCGTCCAGACGACTGACGCCGCCGCCGGTGGCCGCCGCCAGCGCCGCGAACGCCCGCTGCACGGCCTCGTCGGGCGCGTGCAGCAGGCAGCCGGTGTCGAGCACGTGCAGGCGCACGCGGCATCGGTCGCAGAGGATGCGGCGGAACGAGTCGCTGAGCACGGCGGCGCGGAGCTGCACCGCCAGCTGGGCCGGCGCCGCGCCGTCCGTCAGCCGCGCCGCCGCCTCGGCCGCGCTGCCCGGCAAGGACGTGACCAGGTACACGGCGTTGCCGGAGTCGACGGAGGCGGCGGCCGGCGCACGCTGTCCGCGCCGCTTCACCGGCGACTCGAGGTCGGCGCGCTCCCAGGGGAAGTCGAACGCCACCTCCTGGAGGGCGCGCGCCAGCGCCTGGCCGGCCGGCGGCGGCGGCGGCGTGTCGGCCGGCCGGCGCGGCGAGCCGCCCCGCCGCCGCTCCAGCGCGCCGGCCAGCGAGTTCTCAAACGCCTCGAACGCGTCGACCGTGAAGTCGGCGAAGCCCGAGCGGTCGGCGCCAGGCTTGTAGCACGCCGAGTCGAACAGTCGGAAGCCCCAGCGCAGGCCGCCGTCCCTCTCGAGCACGTTGGCGTGACGCATGAGCAGGCGCAGAGAGGCGCGCTGCAGGCATCGGATCCAGCCCTCGAACGTGCCATCGGACGGCGCGTCGGCGCTCAGGCAGCTCAGGTCGATCAACAATACAATCTGCTGCCTCATGGCTGGTGGCATTTACTCACTGGCAGGCCATGCTGTCCTCATGTTGACAATGCCAGTGGGTTTGGATGCTGATGGTGAGTTTTGCTGAAAGTGCCCTGTCACAAACAGCATTGTTATAACACCTTTTGGAGATAGTGGCGAAGAGCAAGACATGTGCTTGATTTGGTTCCATACTGACTCAGAATCTAGTCAAATATCACACAAGGCATGCATTGTTCATGCTAGAAGCAAATTGCTTAAATAGTATGCCTTTCAAAATCAGTGTTGATCTGATGCTTGTCAGTTGAATCATGGGATCAGAGCCAGTGACATTGGCAATTAGTGTCATTCTTGACACAACCAGTCAAAGATCGCCCAAAACTGCAATATAATAAGTCACAAGGATAGGGGATTAGGATGTAGGCAAATAACCAATCATTCATGAGGCCAACATTTTTTTGGAAGTCTCTGTGCCAATTCTTGCAGGTTGAAATGAAAATCATATAAGTGGTAATATTTCTGGTGCCACCATGTGGTTAAAAAGCTGTCATGTGGTTTGCCAGGTTGTGGTCACATGTGGTCATGTGGTTAAAAAGTTTTTGAAGATCCCTAGCCTTGGGATCATTCCGAGTGAAAATAGCATAAACAAAATTTGTATTTAGCTACCATGTCATCAACCCATTGGAAACCTCAACTAAATCCTTCACCTTTGCTACCCACAGCATGAGCCCTCTCTCACCACTGACCTGCTGGCCCTGGCACCACATCCAAACTGATGCTGTGTTGTTTGAGAGCAACCACTGCAATGGCATGGCCCAGCTCCAACCTGCAAATTACTGGCCCAGTACCTTCATCCTGTGCCATCTTGGAGACAGAAAGGGGAAAAAGATACAAAAAATGTGCTGTGGGAGCTTAATACAATTTTGGGCTAATCTTATATACTTCATTTGTTTACCAAAGGCCAAGGCTATAATAGGTTCCCATTCATTTTTATTGTAGCGTGCATGATATTAGCTAGCAAATTAACATATTGTCAAGCTTTACAGCTATCTGATTCATAGCAGTACAGTCAGCATTACAAAACCCAGAATGTTTAACATAGGGTATTAAGGTTTGAAAGTTGCCAACGTAAATTCAAATGTAATGTAGATACATCCAACTGACCTAGTTTCTGATACCTTGTATTTTTTGTCTCCGTACAGACATATTACAAGTAATTAAAGAACTGAACTAATTGAATAGGAAAAGCCATGCTCTGAGTGCATTTTAATGTTATCCATTACACACAGCCAAAAAAAACAAGAATAGCTTTGAAGATATTCTCATCACAAGCCATGTTGAGGTCAAAACAAATGACCATGCAGCCTAGATGGACTAATGGTTTGGTCTATCATCTTTGTCTGCTGTCTTAGTATGCATGTTTCACCTGCATCAGTAACATGCAAAAACTAACCCACTAGCGAAAGATGATAGCCACTTCAGGGATGTTTACAATAACCTGACAAACACCCCATTTTGTAAATGCTGCAAGGCCCAACACTGACATCATTGACAGTTACATCTCCAATGCACATTCCAGTTCTTAAAATGTTGCACAACCCAAGATTGTAGCTTTAGTTGCCATAAGCTACTCACCCTGCAAAAAAGAACCAAACACCTGCTGTCCTCAAATGCCGTTTTGGTTTCAGTGTGTGCAAAGGTCACTGTTTGAACAATGTCAAAGAGTTGGTTTCATTGGGCAAATATTTCAAACAGTTCTGACAGCAATCACAATGGTCATCCCAGTCTCCTTGAAAATAAAGTTAAACATTCTAATATAGGGATGTTGGCTTCAGCTGGTATACTGCATCAGCTTGTCAAGGCGATATACGTGTATGCACATGAGGTAGTTGGATTGCTGATCCATTCAAAATTGTCATACAATAACACTTCAAGCATATCCATACGAGTGTTTTAACATGGCCGTACTTGAACCATGGACACAGCACACACATCCCCCAAGATGACAATTTCTGGAAGTCAAACGACGCGTCAAAGACTGGAAACTGGCGCGGCCAAGAACATATGGCGCTACTGCGCTATTTTTGTAACATATCAAAACAAGATGTTACTAAAACAAAAGGGTCACGTTATTATGAGGGAAACATCGATCTGTGGGACCAACTGCACTTATGATTCGTTACAGCCAGGGGCATGGGTAAATATCTCAGGAAGGGGCGGGGTCCAGGATACCCATGAGTTCCGGAGAATGCAACATGTGGAGATCCAGGAATTCTAAGTGGGTCAGGTATGGGTTTGGGCAGGGTATACGGAGATTCCTCCAAGTTGGTGGTTGACAAAGGCGGCCTCAGTACATGCCGTAAAATAAAACGCAAACGCATGTGCAACTTATAACCTCACACAGAACGCTAAGCGCATTTGGCATGCTTAATACAACGTTCCAGGTCCGCCAATCATGGCACGAGAACACCGAATCTGACACCTATTTTGTAATTTCACGTGCTCTGGAAGGTCGGCTTCAGGAAAAATTACGGGCCCCTCAAATCAGCTAGAAAAAAACACCGACTTTTGTCATTTTGTCATCACATCAAACACCACATTTTGTCAGAGTATTAAGCGGGGCATAAATAAACGTCCGTTAAAAAGTTCTGACCTCTAAGGGTCACCCCTCAAGCTCAAATGATGGGATCGTCTAAAACATGACAGCGAATTTGGGATTATGTAGCAAAGTGGTCGTCTTCAACATAAAAAGAGCGCATTTCAAGACGTTTTGACTTTTCAATGCGATTCTTTAGGTCTGCAATCGGTTGGTCATCTAAGAGGGATACAAATACAGAGCGCTGCTGTTAGTGGTATTAGGTTCCCCTTGTGATGAGCGCAAATTCTGCTTGAAAGGAACGGCCGTGAGAGACCAGAGCTTCTCATTTCATTTTAAACAGTCACCTTGAAAAGCCAGGACTTTTTCACGGACACTATTCCATCTTCAATTCTGGCCAATATTCTGGTCCTTTATAATCCGGAATCGTCCCGTAACTTTTAGGTCAGAGCTGTGACAGGTCCAGGAACCAAGAATGTTAGTCGGAGGGTCACAGCATCGCTCGGGGTCCCCTGAGATCATTAAGGGTCTGTTCTCTCCCGGAAGCCCCTGTTAGCAGTAATGAACGGAAAACCCATGTCCGAAAACAGGGGCCTATGCCTTACAGAAGCGGTGACGAAGCTCTGCCGGCGAGGAAGCCCACGTTCCAACGCTAGAACGCAATCCCGGTACCTTCAATGGGAGCCCATAGCCGTTGTCCGCTCGTCGCGAAAATGTTAATGCGTTCGAGTTCTCGCATCCGACGTAATGCTGTGTACCAGTAACTGCGTTGTTCTGTCGCGCAGAAGCAATGCTACGTCGGAGTTTTTGTGTTCGACCACCTGTCCCGTAGTAAGTTTTGCACACGACTCACTCCATTGGAAGCAGTATCGCGAAGAAATTGTACTAGAAGTTTTGTCGCGTACAAATTATTTCACAGTAGCATCTGCGTTAGAATTCATGAAATAAAATTCATGTCATGGAAATTAATTCGCTGGCAGCAATTGGGTCATACGTCCTGTCGTGTAACCACCTTTTCGCGAACCTCCGAGCCTCCTTTGTAATCAATGGTCCTGATCACGATGTGTATTCGCATGCCTCCATAACAACTGCCTGGCATAAATTCTTACATAAATAGATAACTCCAGCGAGCAAACACGCGTCGGTCGGCCGGCCGGCGGGCAGGCCCGAGCCCCGGCAGAGGGGCGCGCGCCCGCCGCCCGGCCGAGCGCCCCGAGCCCGCTGGCAGCGGCGCCGCCGTCCGCGAGCAAGCCCGCCAACCGCGACCGGCCGCCGCCCGCGCGCCCGACAACAGAGCAAGCGAGAGAAGGGAACCAGCGACGCGCGCAGCCAGCCGGACAGAACGCCTCGCAGGGCACAACGGAATAACGCGCAGGCAGCCACGGGTCAGGGCGCGGCGCGCGGGCCGTCAGCCCCGGGCAGGGTGCATCAGTGGCGGAACAGGCCGCGGGTGGCCGCGGGGCGACCGCAGCCGCATGGCGCCATCTGCCCGGCTGGCAGGCATCCCGGAAAGGTAAGGTAGGCACGCTCCCGCCGACTGGAATACCATGTGAAGCATACGAGCTCGGAGATTACTCAGTGAGCGGCCGTAGCAGGCCGCCGCCGGCCAGCGCGGGGCCAGCGCTGTGTTGCGGCACACCTCACAGTCAGCCCCAGGTCCTCTGACGCCTCGCACCAGGCCTGCCAATCCCACATTTCCACAGCAGAGAAGTACAACAGACGCCGGCCGCGCTCGGCCTCCGCACGCAGCGCGGCGTCCCGCTGCGGCACACCGGGTACAGTACAGAATGGGACCGTGCGGAGTCCGACCGACGCGAGCAGCCGCCTCCCGCCAACTTCAGTGACATCTAGCGGGGGACCGGACCACTACATGTTGCGGATCTTGCCGGGCACGTAGTTCTTGTCGATGACTGGCTCCTGGAGGAACATGTGGAGGCAGCGCTCGTTCTGGGCCAGCGGGTGTCCGGCGACCCTGAGGGGCGAGACGAGGCGATATGAGACCAGCGGGGGCCAGATCGCACGGGCGGCTGAACGACTACGGAACAACTCTGCACACCTCTCAGCATCGCAGTCGTAGTGTGCAGCCAGGCCATTGTCCACAGCCGAATTATCTGGCACCCATCGCACGCCTTCTGTGTGTAATAATAAGCAGCATGCACTAACTCTCACGCCACTTTCCGAAGACCGGTGTCTCTGCTGAACATACTGATACGACGAGGTCAACACTCATGTACTTCACCCCTCCAATTACACCCGCTATCTCGCCTGAACCCTGCCCACTGGTCGGCGGGGTGAAAGGTCGTGCCGCTCACTTGTTGATGAACACCTCGAGCGCGGTGCGCCTCTCCTCGATGAAGCCCTCCTCGTAGATGCCGTCGTCGGAGCGGAACGGCAGCTGACGCTTCAGCGCCTTGCCCGGCAGCGTCGGCACCACGATCTGGCGACAGGCCGGGTCGGGGTCAGGCGGCTCCAGCAGCGCCCCGTCACACAGCGGCGCGTCGGGGTGAGGCGGCTCTGGGTCGGGGTGAGGCGGCTCCGGGTCGGGGTGAGGCGGCTCCAGCAGCGCCCCGTCACACAGCGGCGCGTCGGGGTGAGGCGGCTCTGGGTCGGGGTGAGGCGGCTTCAGGTCGGGGTGGGGCGGCTCCGGCAGCGCCCCGGCAAAAAGCGGCGCGGGCTGTTCGTCATGACACGCGGGGTACCGCGCCACAGATCCACGCCGATCTAGATCCACACCAGCACATATACGGGGACCACGCCATCGCCGTCAGACTGGCGCTTCAATTCCTGCTGACTCGGAATTGACTTAGACTCTGGCTCACAAAACAAGGAGGTACTTCCCACTTGTACTAGGCAGCTCTGCGTAACTTGGGGTCGACTCCAATTCCGACCCACGGACTTAATGTTGATATTACTCCGGTCGTAACTGTTCACGAGGCAACCCATTAGATGTCCTTCAAATTGTCAATAGGACGTTTATCGTAACAGTTATATAGGCATATACAGCTTAGTTCTACTTCTTGCTAACGCAAGCTGTCAGACTATGCCCATTTCCTCTTGCTTACATTTTCATTTGACTATTCGAGATTGCGCATCTGTCTGCCCTCCCCCACCCCGTAACCCAGTTTCTGTGCTCCAGGTTATGCACGAGGAGAGTAAGAAGATATGCTTCTGAGTTCTCTTTCCATGCATTATCATGAGCGCAAAAGCCTAAAAAAGCGTATCGCTGAACGAACGTTCGGAACGTTCGGGCCATCCGACAAATTCAGATTTGAAGCATGTGGAAACTTCTGACATTTATTGGCGTTTTCAGGACGCTTTTTTGTTTCTATAAATCTACACTTATTTACATAGATTTGCTCTCGGTTTGCATTGCTGCACGCACGATACTAAAAGGCCAAAGGCAATGCTGTGGTATGCGTTATTTTGACCACTAGGTATGTTACCAGTCAGCTAACACAAGAAGCAAACCTGATGCATCTACCTTCGCCTCAGTTTAGACGGTGATCCAAAAGAATTGCTCTCGTTTGGCCATCGCCGGCCCCACCATGGGCTGCATCGAGGTGTGTGTGTGTGTAGGCGGGGTGAGGGTGGGGGGGGGGGGGGGGGACAACATACACCGGCGGTGACCACCCACCGCGAGCTCAGTGCGGACAACCCTCAGTTAGCCACGCCCCCTGCGTTCGACGCCGGCGCATTCGCCAGCGGCTGCTGCACGCCATGCTGGACAGTCGTAATGGCTGGCTGAGACCGTCCGCCTGTGGGGGACTTGGCTTGGATCGCGGTCGCGCCCCGCCCACTGGATGCGGTCATGCCATGCAAAAGTGCCACAGTACCACAGTACTCCAGGCGCAGTGTGCACGGCCTATGCGTGGTCAGTGACAGAGCTAGTCATGGGCCTTCCCTGGACCAATGCATGGTGAGAAACAGCAACACAAGATGAAGCTCGATGAATGTTAACACTCAAATGCATTCATATGTACATGAAATATGAGCATATCACCATGCAGGAACACTTGGTTCTGCACTTAACTGCATTATATTATCAGTTTTACCAAAACTGCCATAATTCATTTGCAGATGACTGTCAGGCCTTAGTGCCCCACAGGCCTCATTACCTATACTTGGCAGCTCAACAAGCCATTCCTACCTTGCTGTCTCTTTCCAGTTCACTTCTTAGCCACTCAAACTCGCTGTACCGGCGGCGCACGCTCGACTCCTTGACTTTGAACACTGGCAGATTTGTCTAAAGCAAGAGGATCATGTCACAGAAGATCTCCAACCAGCATCACAGTCACAAAAACAAAATGTTTTTAAGACACACAGTTGTACGCATGACATGTTCTTGTAGAAACATCTATCAAAGGGTGTTAGCACACTATATATTTACTGATATCTAATAACTGTGTACAGCAAGTTAGCTTTGTGCCACGTCTTGAGCAAGTTCTCCATTGGACTTATTGTAAAAAGGGGCCACAATTTGTACTTTGTTTATCAGTGTACTGCATGCAGATGAAATATCTCGAACAGAAATGACAGCATCACTGATTTAAACACCATAAACATGTTAGGTAGTTGGCACTGAGCAATGCAGTACTAAAATAGCAATAGCAAATGATAAATGCAAACAAACAGTCCTCAATGAGTTGACATTAACCAAGCACTCCTGACTGGTGAACAGTCAGAAAAAAACAAAAAGAGATGAATTCTATAAGATGTAATTAATATAATGGACTCACCCTCATTCTCACTTCATAATCAGTATATCTCTTGGTACCCAAGCCATGAGTGATTGGATTCACAACATCAATTTCTAGAAAGTTTGCTGGAGCTGCATATGCATCATCCAATGTCTGCTTCTTAGCTGCCAACCTCCTTGTTGCATCAAGGCTAGCTTCAGTCATTGTGTTCACTGAAAAATAGACAAGTGAGTTAAGACAGGCAATGCTTTTTATTACAGGCAGTAGGAAGGGAGCAGCACCTATGCCATAATAAGTTGCAATGAAAAGCAACACAGGGTAATTGTAATCTTTCAAAATGTATATGTGTGTGTGTGTGTGTCATTGGGGCTTTACGACGCACTCAGCTGCTGAGGCTATATGGCGTCGCCTGCCTCTCACCCTGGCAGGAAGGGCGGGCACCGCGGGGAATCGAACCCAGTACCTCTGGTTTCCCAGACGGGCAGTGGTTAACGCAGACGCGTTAACCACTACACTACTGGCACCCCTTCAAAATGTATATAACCTCATGTTTTTTTACATTGGTGGAAAAAGCCACACTTATAAAAATGCCACCTGCACCTGAGATCCAGCTCCTGCAACTAAGAAAGCCATTCAACCTGACTCTGATAGCCATGAACTCAGCAGATCTGGGGGAGAGAGTCCATGACTTCATACAGATTGTTGGAGCCCATGATATGAGTCATATGCCTTGTCAAGATTAGTCACAAGGGTCAAATGATAACCTCTCGGATTCCACCCAACCAATTGGAATGGTTTTAGCACAAGACAAGACATCACTTTATTCTCTGTATCCAACTCATCTGCCCCTTTTTATGGACATCTCTGCCTTTGCCTGATACAGTGATCATCAGCTTGAAGACAGAAGGTCTTGGACTAATCTGAACCACTGGGGAACAATGTTTTCAGATTAATGCCTGCATGTGCTGCTTTGGCAGAAGCAAGTTTCAAATGCAACTCATCTTTTCTGCTATAAAATACAGGAAGATAGAGTGGTACTATCTAGTACAGAAATAAGGATGGGAGTTGACTATGGATGTGAATACATGTAAGCCATATCAAGTCATGGAAGAAGTATGCAACAACACCACAAGAAAGGGCCAAAGAAGAGAAATCCTAAACACACAACAGTATTTGGTTCAGAAAACACCCCAAACAGAGCTAAAGCTGGCTGCCTCTAAGGAGATTGAAGTGGTATAGCCTGCAGGTGAGTCAGCCTGTCTGCTACAGTGGATATTCTAACATAGCCAGTCTGGCAGCAGATGAGCAATATGATAACATAAAGATGTTCATTGATGTAATCAAATAATGATATATTGAGCAACATATTTACTACATTCAATAACATGATGCTTGTCTTAATATCTTCAAATGTGGGACATTCTGTTTACAGCAGTTTAATGGATGGGAAGGTCTGTGAACAATGTTATCCTTGCCAATTCATAAGAACATTATATGATGCAAAAAAAAACGTTCACTTCAAGTGGCCTGTATGCACCTTTAACTTCTACTTCCAAAGAAATGATAGAACAGACAATGCACTGATACATAATTCAGCCATGTGATATTGCTTGCAAAGGCAACATCTGCCCAGAAAAAGGGGCTTTATTTGCATGCATGCTGGTGACACTGCCTGAAATAGTACCCACATACCAAAGTGACAGAAGGCTACTGCATGTACTGCCATGGCAGGTGTCACTATCAACACTCCAGCAATTACTGAAGATAATTATGAATACCTGGATGCTGTCTTGCCATTCTTCAGGATTATTGGCAGTTGTGAAGGTCCTAATCCTCCCATGTCTCCTGTGTAGGTCCTAATCCTCCCTAATCCTCCAATGTCTTCATATCAAAGTAATATAATATGCACAGTAATACCAATATGGTATGCACAACATAATTTATATATATATACATTTCCACAATGCAGTGTATCAACCCTGCAAATTGTGCCCCCTCCCCCACATAATGGGGTGTAGGTAAACTTCATGCTTAAGGGGGTGTAGTGGCATAATAAACAGGTATATAATTTACTAATTCTACATTTCAGGAGTTCGGCAGAGGCACAGATAGGAGTGTGGGAGCTGCCCCTTTAAACACTCTCGAGAAGATCACAACACCACATTTAACAAGCCAGTAGCAGGGCATTTAAAACGGTCATGAAACGTTTAGTCATGTTCTCTTCGCTACCCCCCCCCCCCCCCCGCCCCCCATTACAAAATGGATCTAACATCTAGCACACCTCACTCATACCAATCCTTGTTTTGAACGGAATCATGGAATACACATGCTGCACGCCCACCAGAATATAACTTACCTCCTGTCGATTTAGCGCAGTCCCAGCCGCCTTAGGCCCTTCCGCAATATTATTCCTCTCCTAAGAAAATATGCGCCGGAGCTCAACCCCGATAACCATGCCAGCCCACCGCAGAACACTTTGTGATTAAGGAAATGACGATATAGTTTGCCGCAAATTCCTGAACCCGTTCGTGGACGGCTTTAAATTGTTCTCAGCATAAAAGCACCAATAAAAAAGTTTTCTTTTCCTGACGTCATGCAAGCTGTTACAACGATATTTTCTCCATGACAAGAGCACTCACGAACTGCATAGCTACATTTAAAATGTACTGAAATTCTTACCGTAGCAAATTTCTTTTTTTATATGTGTAGAACAAACAAACATGCGCCGAGCTCACTGAAACCTTAGATAAACAATGATTGGAATGAGGCCTATCGCGCAGCATCCGCCGCGCAGGTTTGACGTCATTAACTAACCAAACATCCGCCTTCGCTCCCCCTCGGTGGTATTGCGCAGGTTGGGGTGTTGTAGGGGACTGCAGCTTGCGTGGCTTCGTAACACAGCCGTATCGCACAATTGGCTGCTAGTCTTGTCTACATTGTCTACTGAAGCACTGCAAAATGGTAGGTCCTGAATTTTAAGGGAGGAAAACTGGTACTTTTCTATCTTCCATCATGGTTGCGCCGATTGGATGCGCCGGTTCGAGCCGCTGTTGTGCCCCGATAGACGCTGTGCCGCCGGCGTGTGCCTTGCACTTTAAAACTGCCCGTATCCAGATAGCTCAAGGAAGAAATCCGTGAAATGGTGTTATCGGTTCTTCCACCAGAATTAATTGATCCCTCTCGCAACAGCGTACAGCTGTACGTCCCATATCATGTTGGGAAATGGTACCTCACCATTATATAGCTTTATGTCCCATATAATGCGAGGAAATGGTGTCTTCCCTCACATCTGTCTCTAGCATGCATCAGTTAAAATAAGATAAGCTTATTTATAGTGATTTTTATGCTTTGAGGTAGAAGAGACTGCATCCAGACAACAAGTTTTTTGCTCCAGGACACTTAATATGTTATTGTGTAACTTAATTGTTGGGCCGTTTCTCATGGGGTTCTTGCATATTTATCTGTGGGTTAAAATTTTACTTGTATGAAATTGGCCTGGCTCCTAGTGTTCTCAGATCAGCTCTTCCTCATAAAAGCAAGACCCTAGGATCCTACTCCTGTCTTTGTTTTTATAAACAACATATCCTAGTTCCCATTTGTTGCTTTACAAATACTTTATTCTATGTTCTCATTCTCACTAGTTATTTTGCAAATGATGTACAGATGTGTTATTCTCATTGATTTCCAGCAAACACTAGAACAAGGCATTGGCCCTGTGCTGTTACTGACTTTACATAAACACCAGAAACTGGTTCCTGTTTCTCACTGTTTTTTTTTCTTTTACTTACTTAAACCCTGTGAAATACTTCTCGCTCTCTCTTACATAAAAACCCTTTGCTGTTATTGGCTTTACATAAAAACCAGAAACTGATTCCTGTTTCTCACTTTTTTTTCTCTCACAACTATCACCTTCTGGGGACCCCATGGGCTTGTTCTCAAATACCAGAGTGAGGTTTCTGGCTTTCATTGGTTTCTCTAAAATACCAGATCATGGTTTCTGACTCCTTTTGGTTTGCTCATAAATAACAGGTTCCAGCACTTTCCTCTCATTTGTTTATTCATGAGTAGCAGGTTAAGTTACCTTTTGGGAATTATCTACTAAAGGAAGGTGGTCAGAGGAATGAGATATCCTGCACATATTTTGTAACATTCACATCTGCAGTGTGCTTAATAGCACAATATGTGGGTGCATGCTGGTTCCTGACAATCCTTCCAGGTGAGATTGGGATTCTTGTTGGTTCTCTTTACTTAAAAGCTTACCTGATTTTCACTTCATTCCCAGCGTAATTCCTTGCCACTTCGTGGCCCCTGCTGGATCTCCGGCCATATTCTAGTATAGATATTGGCTTTTGCTGGATATTTCAGCATAGTTCAGACTGGCTCTCAGTGCTAAATGGATTCCTACTAATATTCCAAGCTGGACCCAGGATCCTGCCAGATCTCTTTACTTATTGTCTTATTATCTTCTTTTTCTTCTTCTCTATGTCTTCTTGTCCTGACACATGTCTTCTTGACCACAAGCCAAGAGGTCATGATCCAGATTAGACTGCATAGGTGACTATTGAATATCAATGAGTATTACACATGCATGCATGCACGCACGCACGCACGCACATGCACGCATGCACGCATGCACTTGCCAACCAATATCCAGTAAGGCTCAAGGGAACCAGCAAGAACCAGGATCTTATATTATTTGTCAGGAACCAGTGCATATCAAAGGTAATAGTATATGCTGTGCAACCATTTTTGAGCTGGCAAAAAGTGGATATCCTGGCAAAATGTGGACACATGTAATATCAACTGATTAAATTTGCCAGCAAAATATCGGTCCACGGAAAATTTCGCGCACAATATCGACTTCGCAAGACATTGACACATAACATATGCACACCTTGAAATATCAGCTCCCAAAATATTGCCATGTAAAAGTGTTGACAACAAACCATTTAATGCAACTGTTTGGGACTCAGTCATCAGTATATCTGAACAAAAAAGCCAGAACATGGTCGCTTAAACACCTTGCTATACAATGCATCTAGGTTGCATCCCCTAGCATAGGTCTCAAAAGGAGATGAAAATATTTTGACATTGAGTTAAACATACATGGTAAGTGCAGTGGAAGTAGTCTTGAGCTGTGTGCCCGTTAACGGGACTGCATTGCGAAGGATTCTCGTCATTGTGGCTTATTTTCCGGCTAGGGAGGACAAAACATAGAAAATCTTGCAGCGTCAGGCATTTTCATATTGCGACGAATAACTGTTGGTCGAATATGGAACTGTGTGGCTCAGAATTGCTGCAGTTGTTTCTGGCAGATGCTGCACCTGATCTAACAGTGGCCCTTCGATGATGCTCGATAACGGGCGGCTTGGTACATAGGTGCCCTATGTACCAAGGATCAACACCTAACAATTTCCTGGATTCCGACCGCAGAGGCTGGTAGTTCATGGAGCCTTGAGGGAAGACTGTCATGAAGGCCTGAAAGAAGATAGTTTATGGGGACCTAGAGGAAGACATTTCATGAAGACCTGAGGGAAGAATGTTGATGGAGACCTGAAGGAAGACAGTTCATGAATGCCTGATATGCCTCCTATTGTTCTGTGGTATGCCATCCTCAGAGACGTGGACTGGAGCCCACTAAAGCACCTACACATGCTGATTTAAAGGACGCCTGAAAGGCGCACGCTAACGGAGAGCACACAGACCACCAGGGTAACACATCATTTACCGACGTGCCGTAATGGAGCAGACTAGCACATCATCTATCATTTCAGGGGTATGCATTTTAGCAGCAAGGCTAGGCAGCGCAGACTTCTTAGTTCTTAGAATGTTAGTTCTTAGAATGGCTTATTGCTCGTAATTCTCGTCCGATGCTGAAAGCATAAACGTCATCATGAAATCTGGTCTAAACAACACCATTTAGGTAATGCACGTTTGTAAATGGCTTTATATTTGTTGTGATGCATACTGATGCTCACATGCAAATTTACCTCCACATTGGTGGTGGGTGCGGGTTATTAAATACTTTTAGCGTCGTCTGTGTTTCCGATGTCCCTCCTTGTTTCGGGCAGTACCGTGTATTGGATACGAGGACGTTTTTTCCGACGAGGAACCTGAATTTCCGCGATGTTCGTGAGGTTTAGGCACTGCCCGTGGTTTCAGTGTGACGTGTTTAAAGATTCAGAGCACTTCCTAAATTCACGTCTGGTTATCGAAGTGATTTTTTGGCTAAGCCGTGCTCAACCTTTTTACTCAATTGTAACATAGATTGAAACGTTTAGTACTGTCAGTGCAACCAATGTTAGATCTATAATGCTACCTACTAGTATATGGAAGTTAAGTAACTCAGCATACCAACTCAAACCCATAGTGCCGAAAAAACACTAGGTAAAGACATTTGTTGCTTGTAAGCACAGTGTTTACCTTATATTGCTGACAAATCAGCAATTGAAGGCTTGCTGTTTATATGTCACCCATGCTAACAATATATCGTGCACATTCTTGTGCCAATGTCAATCTTGGTAATGTCCTGGAGCACAATTTTCAGTGGTTAGAGTCACCAGAGACCCATACTGTCTGTCCAGCTCCAAAGGAAACGCCAACATTTCGGTTCCTGCATCAGGTTTCAGGTTTTAGCAACAGGCGTCAGACCTAGGCGTTAACTGCGCCTTTGATAGACGATAACGACTGATGCCGAAAATGCAATTGGAGGAACGGATTACCTTTTAGCTCACTAGCGGCCTGTGCATCACCAGAGACGTGACACGCGCTGGTGGAAGGCGTAGTGTTTATTTACACTTAACCCACACAGCTCGTACCGTTCCCTGGTCTTCCGTTACGCACGTGAGGCATCTACAGATTAATCATCAAATAAAGATTGCCCAAGGGAGATTGCTGGCGAAACAGACGTGCCTGCCTGTCGCTTTTGTCATGTGTTCCATGCAAAATGGGATGGGAACGGCATTGCCACAAAATGGTGCTTCAGCCACGTGTGGCTCACGAATGAATTCCATTTTTCGCGCATGATCCACTTCCACCGACTTTACCGGTGTTTCACCCATATAAATTGGTAAGCATCTAGATGCACGCGACAACCTATGGATTCTCGTGGGTAGCTTTGAACCGCGCGTATGACGATGGCGCTACATGATATATGGTCGCCAGCTTGACACATGTGGTTACGCGCCAGCATGGTCGCCAAGGTGACCGTTTGGAGCCGGTACCAATGGTGTGTGCACACCTTGTGTGTGCGCGTAGGGCCCTGTTGTTTTTTTTCACATGGGGAAAGTTGTAGCGCCATGGTGCCATTGGCGCCGTCTCCGTCGTCGAAGGCGATTTCCATCTTCATGCGCCACTGTAGGGCTTACTGGGCGATGCTGACGAATTCGGATTGTGAGAATGAGCGAACTGAAACTTCCTGGGGATAGACGTTGTTGCTCAGAGCCAGCTTAATACTATGGTGTCACTATGAGACTGTTGTTCAACTCTTAGCGGACCCATTGCTACAACAGCGCATTGCGCAGATGAGTCCACCCATTTTCTAACTGACTTCCCCCGTTTCAGCGTGAGTGCATCTCCATCCATGTGGGCCAGGCGGGCGTCCAGATGGGCAACGCCTGCTGGGAGCTGTACTGTCTGGAGCACGGCATCCAGCCGGACGGCCAGATGCCCTCCGACAAGACGGTCGGCGGCGGCGACGACAGCTTCAACACGTTCTTCGCCGAGACTGGCTCCGGCAAGCACGTGCCGCGCGCCGTGTTCGTCGACCTCGAGCCGTCCGTCATCGGTACGTGAAGGCCGCCAGGCGTCTACGAACGCTGCGTCGTGTTTAACCAGTGCTTCATTGTGTTTCTTGTCACAGTGACGTGAGTTGTGTGATTCACCGACTTATGAGTGTGCCTCTGTCGTGAATGTGCACATTTTTAGCCAAACGCACAACAGCGACACAACAAACGGTTGCGCGGCTCTCCGTGATATTGGCGCGGACAACTGGTTCGTACTCGTGGAAGGCGAGTGCGTACGCGAGTATTCCCTGCCGATCCGTGAGATAAAGTCGCGTATTGACATCTTGTAGAGGTACACTTTTTGCATGCGTGAGTAACAAGTATTGTGCAAATGCCACGCCGTTAAGAAGATATTTTAGCTCGACCAGTGGCAAAGTGAGGTTTGCCATTCCGCGAAGCTTCAGATACACGGATGGGTAACGGAATTGATAGAGAAAAAAAACCAACGTGACGAAAAGCTTACCGTGGAGGATAGTTCGATTGGTCTATGAGTACTGACGGGTTTTCATTTCGTCTTAATGACGGACTCAGCAGCAAGTGCTATAGGACGGGAGGCTATATTCCTCGCCAACCTGGCAGGAGCGGTATCGGAATTCGAGGAAATCGCGCGGCTGGTGTGAACACCCCTGGTTTTCCAGACATGCGGTGAAGTAACTGTGCTTCCGGCACCATCAGTGGTGGATAGCTGGTGGATGTTAGCTGGTGTTCATTTTGTATTGCTCGTGAGTATTACCCGCCTCCGGCACACGCTTGAAAGAAACCGGCATCGGACTCGGTATACGACTCGGTATACGGTACCGGTATGCGGCTCTTTATGTCGTAGGTCGTGACTAGTCGAGCTTTGCCTCACGAGTGGCGACACCGCCGGGACCAACGGCGTCGCCTCCTTGCGCAGCGAAGCGAGCGGAACCGTTTGTGAAATCAAATGGATGTGTGATGGTGTAAAATGCATCTCGTGAGTGAAGTAAAATAAGGTAAAGTAAAGTAAATAAATAATAGTAACTAAATAAAAAGTAAATAAATAAAGTAAAATAAAGTAAAATGCATCTCATGATCTCGTGAGTTATGCAAGTGCATGAGTGGCACGTGGGACCAACTAGGGTTATGCATATTATATGCGGCACGTGGAGAGGAAGTCGTAGAGCTGGCACACTTCACCGTGTATAAGATATTGTGAGACCTGTTGGGCAGGTGCTGGGGCGTCTGCGCTGGCGTATGGTGGCCTTTCTAGCAAGGCGACCGTTTTCTCCCCAGAC